AGGCAACAGTTTAACCAACATTACTGAAGGTAAGTGTTTATACTGTAGGAAGCACATAGGATGGAGATTAGTCACATTTATTCCTATTGAAGAGTAGCTAGAAGTAAAGTTTGATGGAGATGGTAGAGTCACAATGAGGAGGAACTCTAACCAGTTGCCATGGTATGTAGCACTGAGAGAGTTTTGCTGCTAGGTAACTACATCTAGAATTTAATCAATCCAGAAACTAAAAGGGGGTGGCATTTATATTTCACCTTGTCATGTGAGGTCTCACAGGAAAATACAAACCATCAATGAGTATGTCTTTAGCTAGAAAGGACCTCGGGAACCATTAATTCTTCTGCTGGTAAGTCACTCAAGAATTTGTGTAAAGGAAAGAAGCAGTAGGATTTGTGTGTGCATGAACACACACACACACACACACACACACACACACACACACGCACAGACAAGAGTCTTTACCAAGTATTCACATCCTGAGAAGGATCTCTGAGACCTATTATTTCCTATTAATATCTTTTACTTGGATGAAAGAAACAAAATTGTGCTCAAATAGATTGTTATTCATATTTTGGAAAAGTATGACTAGGCTATGAATAATAGTGAGAAGGGAGGTGGTAATTAAGGTACAAAGAATGGCCAATTTGACAAAACTGTGAGGATATAAAAAGGAATTTATCAATTGTATTATACATATATTAGTATGTATCATAATGTTCAGTCAGCAATAGACAATGGTGTTACTGGAAGGAAGAAGTACTATGGGTTAGACGGATGGTACTTAAATGTGTTTATATTTTATTATATTCTTAGGAAGAAGAACAATTTTTAGCTGCTGGGGCTGACCAGCAGACCCTGAGTGACAGATGAATGATTACTCTGACACAGGATTGCTGTGAAAGAGAGGGCTAAGAGACTGCCTGGCTAAAGGAACCAGACAGCCTTGATAGCCTACCTCTTCGGGCTTTTATTGTAACAGCAGTTTGAGATAAAGTTTATCTTTTAGATTCAATCAGTAGGGTAAGTAATCTTGGGAGGACACATGTATCTGCAGTGTCTTTTAAGCAAGAAACTTAAATATTAAGCATAAAGATTCTGGTAAACACCTGGGAGCTCAGACTTGTTTGGAAAAGTCAAGGCAGGGTCTGCTGCCTCCTAGAGGCCCCCAACCTTTTAGAGATTCCTTCTTACAGACTTTCCAACCAAGTCTCCTGTGCTCTCCCACATTTAGCACCATGTAAAATGGAATAAAATCAAACTAGAAGGGTAGCAATTGCAGATGGGAGTATATGAAAGACAAAATAAAATGCCTTCAGAATGCAAAGGAAATAAATAATCCCAAAGGGATGGAGGAAGTCTTTGGGGGATGGGATACTATTTTCTCATGAGGCACAAACATCTGAATCCCCACATTTTTAGGATTGCAAGATAATTTTCAATTTCAGTCTTCATGTAGATGTATTTATGTCATAAGCTTGTATGAAAAATAGAAATACAAAAATATTTGCCTCAATAATACAAACATATTAGCACATCTTTATGCAAATGAGAAATCTGGTACAAGCACAATGCCTTTTGACAATATTGATTTGTTACTTTCTTCTGTGAACAAAATATTAATAAAACCACATAATGTTAAGACACTGTGCTACACACTTGGGAAACCTAAATGGATAATGGAGGCCTAAATAAATGAATGGTCTTGAGCACAAATTTAGACAGAGTGGTTGGGGCAAAAATACACATTAGAAATTTGTCAAATTGCATTCAATAATTTGCATATCCATGCCAACTTTTATTTATAGCATGAATATCCACAGTCAACATAAGATCATTAAATAATGAGAGCACTTAAAGTAAGAACATCAGCAACCCCTGTACAAATAGAATAAAACACAGGAAAGTGAAATATGCTACGAGGGACCTAAAACACACTGATCAAATCCACTTCCCATAGTAGGTAATATAAAAATGAAAAATGTCTAATTGAGGTCCTTTCATAACCTGGATGATGTACTCATTTCTGTGTGATTTTTAAAAAATCTTCATTTATCACACCTTGACATCTTTTCTCTGGAATCATTTTTTCTGTTACTTATAAAGTCTTCATTTCTATGTTCACACTTTTCATAGAAAATTTTTTTCCTACTTATTTCTACTAAACCTATGTGTCAACAATGATAAAAAAATTAACAAATTAGTTAGTTTACCTCTTTTTACTTATGTATACATGTTTGTGTAATTAAAATAAAGTATGTATGAAAAGTTTAATTTCACAACAAATTTTTCTTTATGTATTACTGTAATTGTAAATTTATACTGAATGGGTCTAATAAATGCATGCATTCACCAGTCACCATGAGTTAACAAATGCATACAGCTGAGGCATGGCTTAGTTCACATTGGAATATCAGCTGGCATGTGTTAAAACTACTGCAGAAAGTCACTCCAAGTGCCAATAGAACCAATTACCACATGTAATATAGTGTGATCATGTGCTAATCATTAGCCAAACACTGTTTGCAAGCAATGACTCTCGAATTTAAATATGTAGACTACTGTTGTCGATATGTAATATTCATTTCTATTGATGAAATTACTACAGTGTTTTTTCCCAACATATGGCCTATTCACTAAAATTTGTTTAAAATAACAGTGAATTAATAACAAAGTTTTAACCTATTGGTTTAATTATAAGCAAATCTTGGTTTAAAATAGTTAAAATTAACAAGATGTTAATTTTCACATATGACACATGGGTCAGAAATTTTGTTAAATTCAAAATCCTTTAAATCAAGGTCTGCAAAATTAAAGGTTTACTGTACTGCATTTACTGATGCTGCCATCTTGATGTAAATTCTTGGCTTCAATTCCTTATTTGTAGAATTGGATTTCCTTTCAATCTTAAATAATAAATTATTTGGTCATTTTGCACAAGAAAAATATTTTAAACTACTTCCATATATTATTATTTTTCTTATTGTCTCTAATATACAGGGGTGGGCAAAAATAGGTTTACAGATGTGAGTGTAAAACTCAGAGCTTATTCTTATAAAGTTATATAATGTTTTACTTTACTCTCATTCTCTACAACCACATCAGAAATACAACTATATAAAAGAAAAACAATCATTCTGATCCACATGAAATATAGCTTAACAGAAATCCTACCACTAAGGATATAAGGAAGCCACTGACATTGGTAGGAGGGGCAGAGACACTGCACAGGCTGGCTCCACATGCATGTGTGGCAGATAAAACTTCCCTAACTGGGTGAAGGAAATAGAATACAAATCCAGGAAGTGCAGAGAGTTCCAACTAAGATGAACCCAAAGAATCTCACACCAAGACACATCATAATTAAAATTCAAAAGGTTAAAGACATATGGATCTTAAAAACAGCAAGAGAAAAGCAGTTACCTACCTATAAGGGAGCTCCCATAAGACTGTCAGCTAATTTCTCAACAGAAACTTCATGCCAAAAGGAATAACAAGAAATATTTAGAGTGATGAAAAGCAAAGACCTGCAATCAAGATTACTCTGCCCAGCAATGATATCATTTAGAATTGAAGGACATATAAACAACTTCCAGGAAAAGAAAGAGTTAAAAGAGTTCATCATCACCACCAAAGCAGTATTACATGACATGTTAAAGGGGAAGAAAGAAGAAGGAAGAAGGAAGAAGAAGAAGAAGAAGAAGGAGAAGAAGGAGAAGAAGAACAGCAGCAGCAGCAGCAGCAGCAACAACAGCAACGACAAGAACAAGAAGAACAAGAACAAGAAGGGATTAAAAATATGAACAATAAAATGTAAATAAATACATATCTATGGACAATTGCATCTACCTCCCCTCAGAAAAAAAAAACACCCACACCCACAAAATAGAGAAACAAGCAGAACAGAAACTAACTCAGAGGTATAAAGAACATTTTGGTGGTTATCAGACCAGAGGAGGGTTGGGGAGTTTAGTAAAAAAGTTTGAAGTGATTAAGAAGTACTAATTGGTAGTAACAGAATAGTCATGGAGATGTAAAATACAGCATAGGGAATACAGTCAATAATATTCTCATTATGTATGTATTTTGTTAGATTGGTATAAGATTCATCAGGATAATAACTTAGTATTTTATATAAGGTCTAATCATTGGGGGGCACTCCTGAAACTAATATTTAATATTGTATGGCAGCTATAATTAAAAAATAAAAAATATTTCAAAAAATAATACAAATAAAATTGAAAATATTAATATTTATATCAATTCTATAGGTATAAATAGAAACTCCCTCTCAAACATTTGATATAAGTTTACCTTTCCTTTGTTTTATACATTTATTGTGAAAATATTCAAACATGTTCATACAGTTAGACAATAGTATCATTAATCATTAAGTGTCATTCAACCAGGTTCAAAAGGTGTTAGTCTATGACCAATGACCATTTTCTTGTACACACACAATCTCACACTGCCTTACAATTTCTTTTTTCTTTGAAAATATTTTTATTTATTTTAAGAGAGATAGGAATGAAGAGGGAAAAAGAGATAGAAACATCTATGAGAGAGAAACAGTGATTGGCTGCCTCTTGCATGCCCCCTACTGGGAACGAACCCACAACCTGAGTATGATTCCTGGCCAGGAATCGAACCAGTGACAGCTTGGTGCAAAGGACAAGAGTCAACTAACTCAGCCACATGCACCGTGATGCCTTAAAATTTCTTGAGGACAAATGCGTGAAGTATTCTGAGACATGTCTTGAGTCAAACACTAATCCATTTTAACACTTGTCTTTTTCTTCCTCCTCCACCTTGGCCTGCTCATAACCCCAAACACTGTCCCTACTCTGCTTTTTATTTTCTCTTCCAGTGTGCTACTATGCTGGTACGAGCCTGCCAGAGAACAGATTCAAAGTCAATGCTGAATACCCAGCTCAGAGGGAACAGTGATGCTTCCTGCCTGTCCTACTGTGTGTTCACCAATAGCTGTGTATGGTGGCACTATAATGGCTATGAGTGAGGCCCTGGTGTGTGTCAGGAGCACTCTCCTGTCACTCTGGCTGGGGGTAATTCTGTTCCCATATGGATGGTCCCAGGTTGTGCACTCCCAACCCCATGGTCCCCCAGAAGTGGTGATTCCCTTGAAGGTAGCAGGCATTGGCATGAAGATTGGAGACTGGCTCTCTTACAGAATGCATTTTGGGGGCCAGAATCAGTTAATCCACATGAAGGTCAACAAGCATTTTCTGTCCAGACACTTCCGAGTGTTTACCTACTCAGACCAGGGTGCTCTCATTGAGGACCAGCCTTTTGTAAAGAATGACTGCTACTACCATGGTTATGTGGAGGGGGACCCAGAATCCCTGGTTACCCTCAGTACCTGTTTGGGGGGCTTGCAAGGAATATTACAGACAAATGACATTGTTTACGAAATAGAGCCCAAGAGACTTTCTACCACATTTGAACATTTTATATATAAAGTGGACAGTGAGGAGACACAGTTGCCACCCATGAGATGTGGAGTAACAGATGAAGAAATAGCACGACAACTGAAGTTTCAAGAGAGTGCTAATTTCACTTTGATGCAGAGTGGGTATGAAGACTGGTGGACACACAACCGACTTCTTGAACTGGCAGTGGTGGTGGACCACAATCGCTATCTTCATCATCAAAGTAACACCACAGCTGTGCAGTATGAAGTATGCTTTATTGTCAATGAAGTTGAATATTTTTTATATTCTCTAAATGTTAATGTTGTTTTAATGGGAATTGAGGTCTGGACTGAAAAAAACCCTATTCAAATAGGTTTGATAGGTAGTGTCCTGGGCACATTTTGCAATTGGAAGCAAACTAGCTTTAATAACCGCATTCCCCATGATGTTGCACATCTCTTGATAAAGCATGGCTTTGGTATTTTTGTTGGCCTAGCCTTTATTGGAACAGTATGTAACTCTATTCATAATTGTGGAGTGGAAAGTTTAATGGACAATAATTTGAATGCTGTTGCACACACTGTTTCCCATGAGATTGGTCATAATATTGGTATGAATCATGATGACAAAACTTGTACATGTGGACATAAACACTGCATAATGTATCCAGTAAGATCAAATGGAATTAGATTCAGCAACTGCAGCTATGCTAGCTTCATGAAAACTAATGCAAGGCAAAATTGCATGTACGTTTCATCAAATACAGGGAACATCTTCACACTTTCACAGTGTGGGAACAGTGTGGTTGAAGATGGAGAAGAGTGTGACTGTGGCGCTTTACATTTGTGTATGAAAGATCCGTGCTGTGAGTCAGACTGCACTCTCAGCCCTGGGGCTGCTTGTGCTTCTGGCCTTTGTTGCAA